CTCCTTTTTTTTTACTTTTTTCTTTCTTCACACACCAACTTCACATTGCTTCCGCCGAGCTCAGCCGCCAAGCCACCGCCACAGGACTCCTCACGTGGTGGCTCCCGCCATCATCTCTCCACTCAATCGACCCGAACGAGGTCTTAATCCCACCCACAATTTCCATTCCCAAATCACTCAAACTCACATTACCCTTGAACGTAACCTCATACGACAACTCGCGCTCTTTCTCGCTAAAAACCAACTCATTTGGAGATACGGTCACATCCACCCCTGCCGGAGACTCCACACTCACCTGGTAAACCGCGTCCATTTTTTCCCCCACGTTTTTCACTGTCCTCTTGTATTTTTTCACCATCTCGTCATCACCGCTGTAAAAAACAACCGAAAACGACGGGTAGTTAAGATTCCCCGGAGATTCCAAACCTAACTCGTCACAATCCACCGAGGCACTCGTGAAAACCGATATCCTCCTCGGGTTATAACCGATCGCACAAAAAAACGCCAAGTAGTCATTCGTCCCCAATTCGTAGACCAACCCCGGGTCAAGAGCCCGGTTCGGGTCGACGTGGCCCGACCCATGAACAAACGGGTTCGACTCAGCTCCTGTGGCAAGGTCCGTGATTTTCCCGCCGTTATCGTTTAAGTTATAGGCAGTTGTCATGAGTGCCGATTTGATTGCAGCCGGGGACCAATTGGGATGGGCTTTTCTTAAAAGGGCGGCCAAGCCACTCACGTGGGGACACGACATGGACGTGCCGGAGATAATATTGAACTCGACTTTCCGGGAATCTGACTCGAGATCGGTCGGGCCCACTTGGCCCGTCCATCCGGCCAGGATGTTGACACCTGGCGCAATCACGTCTGGTTTGAGAATCTCGGCCGTTCTGTAATTGGGCCCGCGGCTGGAGAAGGAGGCCACGCGTGGGGCTGGTGGGCTGGGCCCGATGACCGTCCCCCTGAAGAAGATCGTGGCTGTCGGGTTTGGAACCGAACGAGCATAGGCCCGTATATTGTCTCCTGCGGTTGCTCCTACCATTGTTGCCGGAATGAAGTGGGCGTCGGCCAGAAGCTCCTCGCCGTTCTCGTCCAAGTTGGCCATTATCATGCCGGCGCCTCCGGCATGATGGACGGCATTGCCCTTCTCGACCCTGGCGTTGCCGCCTCGGTCGCAGATCACGATTTTTCCGGCGACCTTCGATGGGTCGAGGCTGCCGGAGTAGCAGTACCGGCTACCGCAGTCATCGGCGTAAACCAGGGGAAGCAGTTTGTCTCCGAGAGGTTCGCCGGAATATAGTGAGACGCCGCCGTACGTCCGGCCGTCGCCGAGGATGACGTCGGCCGGGAACTCGCGGTCGAGGGTTGAGGCCCCGACGGTCAAGATCCACGGCGCGATGTTGACCGCGGTGTACGGATCGGGCCCGGAGTTCCCTGCGGAGCACGACACCACGATTCCGTGCTCGGCCGCGCCGAAAGCTCCGATGGCAATCGAGTCGCGGTCGTACTGTGGGGCGTGGCCATTGGCCCCGACGGAGAGTGAAATCACGTCCACGCCGTCGTCAATCGCGTGCTCCATCGCGGCCAGTATGTCGGAATCGTAGCATCCGAAGGTCCAGCAGATCTTGTACACGGCGATTCTGGCTTTGACCGCCATGCCTCTGGCTTCTCCTCTGGCGTATCCGAACAGGCTGGCGTTTGAAACCCTAGATCCAGCGGCCGTTGACGCCGTGTGAGTGCCGTGGCCCTCCGTGTCCCTCGGAGATCTGGATTCGTTCGATTCTTCCATCGATTTGCCCCCTCGCGAGGCCTCGTACCCTAAATAGAACGATTTCGCGCCGATGATTTTTCTGTTGCAGAGATTCGCCGGGAAATCGGGGGCATCGACGCAGCTACCCTTCCAGTGGGAGGGGACGGGGGAGAGGCCCTCGTCGGAGAAGCTCGGGCGCTCGGGCCAGATGCCGGTGTCGAGGACACCAACGATGACGTCATCGGCGTAGTCGGAGTTCGGCCAGAGGCCGAACGAGTCGGCGAGGCCCAGGAAATTGGAGGTGCGGGTGGTGTGGGGGAATCGAACGGCGTCGGGGACGACGGAGACAACTCCGGGGACGCGGCTGAGGGCGGCGGCCTGGTGGGGGGAGAGGCGAGCGGAAAAGCCACGCACGGCGCGGTCGTAGGTGTAGAGGATCTGCGCTGGGCGGCGGTGCGGGGGTAGGGATTGGAGGATGCCGGCGTACCAGTGGCGGTGGGTGGAGAAGGCCAGGGGCTTGTGGGATTTGGACACATGGACGATGAAGGTCTCCTGGTCGCCGGAGGAGGTGGCGGAGGCGAGGATTAAGAGGAGGAGCGAGAGAGACAATAAGGCCGCGTTTGGCGGAGGTTTCATTTTCTCCGGCGAAATTTGGAGCTGCGAGCAGGTGAAAAGTGGAATAATATTTATATTCCGATCGTGATTGAAACAAATAGAATCCAATAATATTTGGGAGCGTTTACCCAATTGTGGAATCTTATTGGGCCACGTTGCGCGTTTTCATTGGTGGATCAATCTTTGGGAAAATATTTTTGTAATCTTTAAGGCCTTGTTTACTAGAGATAGAGATGATGGGATTAAATAAATTAATCCCTTCAATTTGCCACGTCATATTTTGTTCCTTATTTACTAAACATGACACGATTTTTGTCAAATCCAATCATCTATTTACCATACATGATAAAAATTTGTGTTGTTAAATGACATTACTATTTTGCCCTTCAATCGAGCCGTGAACATATCAAAGATTCAGAATTGAAGGTCGGACATGAGAATAACATCGCCCAAAATTCATGAACTCTAAAGTTGAACCCTTACATCTGCGATTTAGTGAGGAAATAAAGCTTTCTTTGACGACCTCGCAGACGCCAATGTCTCGAGCTTTTCCGTCCCTGCAGTAGCCGATTTTTGTACCCTCCATCCGGCCGAAATGCAGCAGTGTATGAGAGATCGAGAAAATTTGTAGTCGGGGCCGAAGAGAACGACTACTGAACCAAGTACAACTAATTTTCCTGTGAATGTGTTTAAAATTTCGTAGAATTTGATTGCAATTTCGTATCAATAAATCGGCCACTCGAAAAAATGAAAAAAAAAAATTAAAAAAAAAAATGAAGAAGAAGATGGGGAAGTACAGGGCGGAGAGAGCTAGGGCAGAAGAATAGCAGCTCCACATTTTGGTCTTAAAAATTCATTATATATTGGTATATTTGTAATTTACATAACATGAAGGGTAAATTGTCATTTTGTAGCTAAATTTGAGGACAAAATTGAGATGTCAAAGTTGGGATAAATTAATCAGGTCTAAATGCTGGGACAAAAGTAACCTGACAGCTCAATTAAATGACGCGGGACCCATTGCCACACAATACCCACATCAGCATAATCTAATATCAATACTGCCTGGTAAACATATGATAAGGTTGGTTAACCAACCTTATCCTATCCCATCACCTCTAGTTAAAGAGGCCTAAAAGGATACTAATAAAATAGAGAGACGACCGATGGATATCAAGTTGAACTAAAAGGACAAATAGCTATAGGACCCAGGTCACCTAAATTAAAAGATTGGCAAGGTTTAAGGAAGTGGTCAGGCCTAGTTCAATCAACATGAGGCCCATGATGAATTTCTAATGCCCGAGTAACGAAGCCCATTTCTAAAAGAAAGTAATTATTTTATAAACAAATGGACTTCAATTGCTCGTGGACTCGAATCGATTCATTAAGGCACGAGTTCGGCTAGACTTATTTGATAAATGTATTAGTGTCATTTTTGCCTCACGATTTGGTGATTAGGTTCCATTACGAAGGCCAAATGTTTAAACTCATGATACCTAATCGTTACGTAAATTATATAATTTCTTATAGTTAAAGCATAGTCATATTTTACTTATTCTACTTTTATTTATATTGTAGTTTAAAGTGTGATGTTTCAGTATAAAAGTATGTATATTCGTTGAAAAAATATAATTGTTGAATCATTAGATTGTCTAACAGAAAATCCACAAGCAACAAAATTAATGATTTTTTATTTAACCAACATGAATATCGAAGTAACTCACCTACATATTAGCAAAAATGTAATGGGACTTTATAATGGAAAAGGATAGTTGGAAAGATATAAGATATTTGTAAATTTAAAGATAACTCTATTCTTCAATTAAATTACTGGGAGATGCTACATATCCACTACGGAACTATTTTGTCGGGATTTGTAATCGTTAGATCAACTATTTCTGATGGTTAATTGATGATCTAACAGTTGCAAAGCTCAAACGGAATAGTTCCGTAACAGAAACTTAGCATTTTCCTAAATTAATTAAATGTAAATTGTTTGCTTTTAGTAAGTGTAGTGTCAATCAATCTATTCAAAATGAAAGAAAATGGAGGGAGCATATTGCTTATATGTGGCTCCAATTATTGGTGAATATACATTATACATGTTAATCAAAGGTCCACTTGGCACACAGGGAACCTTTGATAGTGAATTAAGATGATTAATCACTGTCATTATCTTGAAAAATTTATAATTATGTCTCAACTTAATTAAGCTTGAGGTATAAACAAATCAAACATTATGAAGCCACCCAACTCCAAAACCAATCATGTTGACTATTTTAGTATATTTGATTTGATTCTTCCAAAGTTGCTAACCAAATCTCATGTAGTTATTAAATACAGTAAAAGTGCCCTCAATTATTGGCATTTGTTGTGTTTTTTTTAACTAACCTCATCTTTTTCTTAAGAAAATGAAAAAAAAGTGCCAAATTTTTTGTCCGTTTTATGCTTCTCCACATGGAGATAATTTGTTGACTTTGCATTTTGCAATGCTGATTGAGAATATAATGTAAATATAAATTGGGGCATTGTAATTGCTAAAAAGTAGATTATTTGGAATCGGAACTTTTGGTTTACGAGTAGGCTTGTAAACGGCCTAACGAGCTTTCAATGAACTAGAGTTTGGTTCGTTAAGGCTCCAATTCGAGTCGAGCCGAGCCGAGCCAGACTCATTTAATATAACATACCTACTGAACGTATTGAACGTACCGTAGTAAAATGTGAGAACTCATTCATTAATATAATATTTTTTCCACTTTAGACCTAATTGCATGTGTAAACCGAACTTCAAGTTTACAATAAAAACGGTAATTTCATGTGTTGTCTACTCCTCCCTCTAGTTTGGGAGATTGGCTCGAGCATGATATCATCGAGATTTTTTATCCCCGCCAAGTTATTGTCTGACATTTAGGCCTACGTCCTCATTCTTTGTAAAAATAAAAATAAAAAAAGAAAAGGTAATTTACTATTTTTAGCATCTTCTTCATTTTTACTCATTTATTTATTTATTTATTAATTAACTCTCACCTCCCAACTCCACACCATACTCCCAAAACATCAAAACAACAACAAAAATAGGAATAATTTTAGTAGTGATAGTATATCACCACATTCATGTTATTTTTCCATGTTCAGTCCACAACATGATAATCATCACTCTTGTTTTACACAACACACACATACTAATACCAACCAACGACAGTCAAAATTAAGTCCTAAATTCATCCATTCATATCTTCCTCCATTTTTTTTTCCTAATGGTTTTTACCATTTTGACCTCCACCCTCACTCACAACTTTCATCAACCCCACAGTAAACCGGCGACTCGACTAGGGTCAAACTCGACATGCAACTCTCTGACCGGGCGAAAACCGGGCCCTTTAAATCATCTCTTCTTTTGTTCGTCGGGCTACTCGGCAAAGACCTTGTAGATTTCGGGCTCTCCAGGCTCTTTCTAAAAACCTGCCTCATGGCCCGAATAAGATGAACGGTTGGATCCTCAGGTGGGCCCGAGGCCCGAAACTTGCTGCAGAAGCTGATGTGTCGGGCCAATGCCTCGTCCGGGCTTATAAGCTTCGGTGAACGCAATGTTTCATCCTTGACAGCCTCCGAACAAAGCCCACAGATCCATTTGCCACAATACCTAATGAAAGACGCGATTTTTAACATAGTTTGCAGAGAATTAATACTTCATTGATAGATAAATGGGTAAAAAGTACAAGCCCAGGTACTTAGCCTGAGTATTTCAAGAACATCCAATAATCTCTCGAAACTGCAAATATCACTTAGAAGAGGTTTTGTATTGATTTCATAATAACTACATTTTCAAGGTCCAATTTACAAAACCAGACAAATATCAAACATCAATCCTAATAAGTTAAAAAAAAGAGGAAAATGCTACAATCCCGTTACGGAACCATTCCATCGGAATTTGTAACCGTTAGATCATCATATAACCGTCATGGATAGTTGATCTAATGGTTACAAATCCCGGAGGAATGGTTTCGTAACGGGACCGTAGAATCTCACAGTTAAAGATAGAAAATTTCTAAAGTTTCTTTTTTTTTTTTCTTTTTTAAATGCAAAACATGTTAATTGACATCCTAAAGTAAAAGCCCGACTCATATTCGGGCCAAAAAACAGAGAAAGGAACAAAACTATGTTTCAAGACAGCACCAAAAATCAAGAATGGTAATCAGATGACATAAGACTCAACAAAAACCAATCAAATCCCATCCAATCCAAATTCCTAAACAATCATCTACCTTTCTCGGATTGTTTCTATGTATGTTTGGGTGCACTCCTCAGTAAGCCCGCAGCAATCGCATTTCGCAAACTCCACCTCGATTTGGCCCGACATCATACTCACAGTCCCATTAACAGGTGACCCATCGGGTCCGGGCCCGGGCCCTATAACCACAGTATCACTTACTACAGTCGACATCCCTGAAACCATAACACAAACACATCACAGTCAAAATCACGAATCTTGACAAAAAATAGCAACCAGAACACGAAAAAAAATGAATTAACTTAAGAAGAAGATGAAAAATTACCCAGCCGAAGGAGATCAAAATCGATTCGACACAATCCTTGAAATCTAAAATTTATAAATACAGGATAAAGGGCTGGCTGATAACTCTGATCCAGTAACAAAAAGAACAAAAAAAAAAACACTATAAAAATTCAATCTTTTTGTGCCCTTTTCGATTTTTTATCTATTTTTCTCCCACTCGCCTTCTTCTTCCACCTTTGCTTCCTCAGGGATGAAGGAATTATACAAAAAAGACATTTCAAAAACAAAAAAAAAAAAACACAGCAATAATTACACGGATAAGAACGAATTAAAAAGGGCTAGAAAAAGTTTTCCTTTTTTTGGTCTCAAGAACTTGCTCTAAAATTCCAAATAGAGGAGATGGGATCAGATAAATCAATGAAGGGTTTATGTGAAATTTTTGAGAGAGAGCTATTTTCTTGTTCGTCGTGCCAAATAAGAAAAAAAAAAAAAAAAACTTTCTTGGGGCCCTTTTTTGAGAAGGTTGGGAAGTTTACATATTGTGTGTGTGTGTGTGGGCGTTTTTATTGTGTGCGAAAATGGGGTTTCAATAATTGGGGGGACACGTGTCATATTTTAGGATGAAATTAGGGTTAAAGTATAAAAATTGTGGCCTTATTATCTATAAGGATTTGACAGCAGTGCCACTGCGTTATCTTTGTTGGTTTTGCAGAGCTGTCGGATTATTATTATTACGAAAATTCTACTGTCTCGTCGTGGGACTCGGAGAATTTCAAATCGTTCCAAAAATTGAACCGAAATCACTCCGAACCGAAAAATAATCGTTGACCGTTTGACACTCTCCAAACCGAATCGAATCGAACCGAAAAAAATAATTGGTACGGTTCTGGAGATTTCACAAATATCCGTATCGAGAACCGAATCGAACCGATCCGTGCCGTACTGTACCGAACGGAAGAACCGAAATTAAGAACCGAATTATAATATTAAATGTGTTACTAATATATTTTATGTCAACTTTGATTCTATATAATATAGTAATAAATATTAACATTCACTTAAATTTCATTCTTAATAATATTTGATCTACAATTTAATTTTTTCTATTATAAAATAATTATTTTAAAATAATATGAAAGTTTAAAAAATATTTTTGTAAGAAAAAAATATTATATTTTATTTGAATTTTAAATTTTCAATATTAGTTGCACAAATTTTAGTTCTGACTAAAATTTAGAGTTACTTATAAAGTTGATTTAAAAATAAATTCTTTAATTTGAGGAACTAGTGATCAATGTTGGTTTTATTAAAGCATATAAAAATTAAGTAACTTAAATTTAGAGTTACTTCTAGAATTAATTTCAAAAAAAAATCTTCAATATGATGAATTATTGATGAATGTTGTTTTTTTAAAGCATATAAAAATTGAAATATAACTAGGTAGTCATTCAAAAATAATTTTAAAAAATAAAAAATCTTCGAAGATCCGAACCAAACCATACTGAACCAAACCGTCCCAATTGCCCCGAATACCGAACCGAACCGAACCGAAAAATAAAAATCTCCGAACCGAATCGAACCGAATTTTTGGTACGGTTCCAGAGATCGAATTTTGGGATCTTCAAAGTTTGGTACGGTTCTGGAGATTTATCAATCTTCGAACCATACCGACTCACGCTCACCCCTAGGTATTATCCTGTCGAGTGTTTTAACTGTTGGATCATCTATCTTATCTAACTACAATAGATCCAACGGTTAAAATTTAAAACACCGAACCGGATGATACCGTAACGGAACCGTAGCATTCCTATTATTATTATTATTATCTTTATTATTATCTGATGTATTTATGAATTGGACTTTTTTTTTTGATACAGGAACCTTCCGATTTCGGGATCCACAGGGAAACCGACTAACCCGGAATCGAGCCGGTAATTGGACTTTACATACATACAACTTAGAAAAGAGAGGTAATTTAGTTATGGTATAATTAGTTCCATGATTTCCACCTCAAAAGGTGGACTAAGCATTATAGTAGCGTTTATTATATTTCTTCTAACAAAATATTTATCAGACATTTTAAAACAAGCAAAAATTCAATTTTGGTCTTTTAAGTTACCATTGTTCATTTTTGGTACATCAACTTTCTCTCATAAAAAATAATGCGTCATGTTGCAGTTTGTATCACTATTGAAATATTATTATTCCAAAAGTGGTTCATTATTTGTTGGGATTAATGTCCTAAAAATTATACATATTGCAACATAACATATTGTTTTTATAAGAAATGCCTCAAAAGTGATACAAATTGTAACATATAACGCACTATTATTGATGAGTAGAACGTTGGTCTACCAAAAATGGACAATGACCAACTTAGAGGACCAAAATTAATTTTTTTGCCTTTTAAAACATGATGATATGTGACTTGAACAATTTCTACTAACTGAGTGATTCAACTTTGTATGCATGACAAGTAAAAAATATCACAGTTAGTATAAAAATATAATTCAGTCGTTTAATTTATATTGCATACAAGTAAAAAAACATCATAATTAGTATAAAAAATATAACTCAAAATCGTTTAATTTATACTTTTTACTTGCCGTATATATAAAGTTGATTTCATATATAACTCAGAACGCTTGGATGAGATGGCTTGGGTCTCTTCCAGCTTAACCAGTGGTCTCGTGTTCGAGCCCTGAAAATGCAGCAGTGTTAAAACTCTTGAGGGAGAGCTTTGCCGCCCTTGTGGTCCTACCCGACTCGATTCCGGATTAGTCGGTTCCCTTGTAGATCCGGAAACCAGAAAGTTTCTGTAAAAAAAAAAAAAAAAAACTTGATTTCATATATAGTTCTGTTTTACAGCATTCAACATTTGTACATTTTTTTTTTTTATATAAGTGTCTTTTACACCTAAATGGTGATTATTAGATGATGTTGAAGTCATATATAATCTATATTATTTATTTAGAGTGATTAACATTAATTGTATTTATTGTATTTTAGAGATATTCTAATTTAGATGATAGTGTTTTTTCTTTTTCTTTTTTTTTTCTTTTAAATATTGTATTTTAGAGATATTCTAATTTAGTGGACCTACTAGTTAAAGAATATATAAACTTTGTGAGATTCCTTGTGAATAATAACTGATTGATTGGATTTAATCCTTTGGGAAATGAAGCAAGCAAAGAGCAAACGAGGCTGTTTTTCCTGAAGAGAAAATTGCAATTGTAGTCCAGCAACTTAGATTGTTTCTCATTTTAGTCCACTAACTTAGGTCGATCTAAATTTGATCCAAAAACTCCCAAAAGTTAGTTAAATCAGTCCAATTGGACTAAATTTGGACTAAAATTGGACTGAAATTGACCAATCAATTGGACTGATTTTAACTAACTTTTGAGAGTTTTTGGACCAAATTTGGATCGGCCTAAGTTAGTGGACTAAAATGGGAAACAACCTAAGGTTTTGGACTAACTTTTGAGAGTTTTTAGACCAAATTTAAATCGGCCTAAGTTAGTGGACTAAAATGGAAAACAACCTAAGTTACTGGACTAAAATTGTAATTTTCTCTTTCCTGAACTTACAATTAAATTCAGATGACGTGGTTAACGCATGACGTCTTTGGTGTTGCTTATCCACGGAATACCACTATTTAGAGGTGCTAGGATTCGGCCTCCTTCGTTTGTACCAAAAAAAAAAAGTTTTCACATAGATTAATGAATTTTGTGTGAAATATATAATTTGATCTTATTATTCTCATTTTTTTCAATTGTTTTATTTATTTTTTATTTTATTGTTCATGACAAAATAATTAAATTGTAGGTGTTAGTTATATGTTTTTTGTTTTAAATATAATACTATGCTTTAGGGGTTTGACAATAAATAAATAATAGAAAAGTTATGGGCTCTTTTTACTATTTGGTCAAATTCATGCATGTTACGCCTTTCTATATGTTTCGTTTTCTATGAATGACAAAAAATATATATTTTAATATTACCAATAGCATGTGTTAAAAGGCCCAAAAAGAACATAGGCAAGTGACCTCGAGACTCTGACTCGCCGCAATTGCACTACACTGATTGGTCATGAGCATATCAAATTATTATATTAGAAAATACTACGATCCCGTCACGGAATCATTACGTCGAGATGTATAACACTTAGATCAAAATGTAATATAATTGATTTAACGATTACAGATCCCGACGCAACGATTCTGTAATGGAACCGTAGCATCTCCCCATTCTATATTATATTGGTTAATTTTTTTTATTTTTTTTAAATAAAAGGAAATAATAATAAGAATAATAATAGAAAGAAAAAAAAAAAAATGAAAGTGAAAGTGAAAACTCAGCTTTGCCTAAAATGTGGTGTGTGTGGTTTTCGCCACAGCCACGTTTCATTGTGGATTATATTGTATTAATTGTCACGTTTAAATCCCATTCTTGAATGTTTGCACTAATTAGTTATAAGCTGTGTGTTCATAACTTCATATCTTAATTACTTTCTTAATTCTCAAGTCTCCAACTTTAGACACAAATCGTGAGTTTTAGGTGAGTCGATCAGCCATACTTTGATAACATACAAAATGCTTATAATATCATAAATTAATATCTCTATTAATTTGTGTACTTGTTTTATAAAATATCATATTTTAGTTCGAAATATACATATTTGTTGAAAATGTACGACTGCTCAATTGTTAAATTTGTCAAACAATTGTCTTATTGTTTATCAAATATTACAAAACGAGTTTTTAAGAGTCTCTGATTTTCTTCAATGTGATGCTTATTTTCTATTATCGTTCATTTTTCGACGTGTCGTTCTTTTCGCCATATCAAATAACAAGCCATGGACGTAAGCCCTTAGGAGCTGATTCGTTGACATCGTGTTTCGATACTTGCAAAAAATCGAAAGCTCGCCACTTTCATTATCAAAATTTAAATATTTGGATCAAATTTTAAACCAACCAAAGTTGTGATTTAATCTACAGTTCAGCCTATTTGTATTTAGTATTTACGTGAATTTCCATCACAATTATTTCAATAATGAACCACGATTTTATTTATTTATTTATTTATTTTATTTTTTTGCACAGCAAATTCAATACTCTCAGTCTCACTATAGTACAAAGGCCTTTTGACCTTACAGTCTTGCGCCTGATTAATAGTTTCTTGTATTTCGAGGCCTCGAGTCAAAAAGCCTAAGAAGATATAATTATTAAATATATATAATTAGTTAATTAATTAATAGATATTAGTTACCACGTTTAATTTAATTCACTATTTTAATTTATTGTGCTTAGTTTTATTACAACTTTTTTATTTTTTTTTTTTTATTTATTAA